ATAGAATAAATAAATAAGATAAATTCTGATTCTACCAGGCCCAGACAGTCTTGTAGCACACAGCATGCCCAGGCATCCCAAAGGGGAACTGCTCAGAAAGGTCCTTCCATGGTGTCCATCTGTACTTGCTAACATCCACACAAGGCAGGTGGCTAGACAAAGACAGATTTAGGGCAGACTCTGCTGACAAGAGCAATCAATCCATCTTTTTTTTTTTAAATGAGAAGGCTAATAGATAAAAAGAACCATCAGGTTTTCAGAGAATTTTAATTGGATATATCCCCCTGTGACAGAACTATGAGCTCATTTTTTTTAAAAGTATAGGGGTTTTGGGGTGGTGGTGGGGTGAAGTTTCAGGAATGCGTTAAGATTCTATTTCACCTAACAGTTACATTTTAGCCAAAGCACAAAGGAGAGTTTAAGAACAAAATTACTGCTGGGACTGCTTGAGCTATTCGGCTTTCAATGGCCTTAGTATCCTAGCAAGTCCTGTAAAAAAGAGACAGTGAACAACTGAGGGAATACAGATTACCATTTACTTGCTTATTGATAATTTAGCATGGGGTACAGGAACCATGTCATAATTCAAATCAATTATCGCCAAGCAATAAAGAACCAGCTTTGGGAGCAGATAAATAACACAGCTGGTGTTCTCAATATGAATAACAAGCTTGCCCAGTGATCTACTGAACACCTGAACAAGATAATGCATGGTAAATGGCAATCTGCACTGATCTGCTGTGATGAAGCAGGCAGTGTTTCTTAAGGGCATGTTTTAGTCTGATTTGTCCTCTCCTGATAATGACTCGACTTCATTCCTTTGTACTTGGATCTGACTCAGTGGACCACTTCTGTGTTATTTAATAAAACATGACTCCACCAACGAAGAAAAACCATAGTATACTGTGTTAGCTACCCAATGCAATATTCAGCGGGAAGCCACTGATCACTTTCAAGACTACTACATTCCCACCTACCCCCATTCCAGCTGACAGCTATACAAGGCTATACAGCCACCCCTGGCAGGATGAGCAGAGTCAAAGGCCAAGAAACCGAGTATTTGGGAAAGAAGACAGATAATTGCTATTCGGTGCAATCAAGAAATATCAGCTTTGTGGAGCTCCTTGTTATAAGGATAGATGGTCAGTAAGGAGAATGATGAGGGTTTTTATTTAGATCATGAAGGGTCTTCCAGAAACCAAAATTTAACTACAAGGATGTGTGTAAATGAGCAGCAAATGCTCTGATATTTAAAGATACCCTCTTAACTCACCTACCTTTGAGCATTTTAACCGCCACTGTCTCACAGCTGTTGCTCTTGTTAATTCCAAATGCAGAGGCTTCCATCACTTTCCCAAAAGCCCCATGGCCTAGGACTTTACCTGAAAAAGAAATGCAGGTTATAAATGTGTGCACGAGCATGTGTGTGTATGGGGGAGGGGAGCGGAAGAGGGCCAGTCTGCAACTGGAGGAATTAGTTTTATATAACTATTCAAAGGACCCACAAACACTAACTTGAATGGGACAAAAACAAAACAGGAAGCTGGAGAGAAGAAGAAGAAAAGGTGTGAAAAAAGAAGAATGGCATTTTTGCCCTTCCCAGGTCGTTCTGTTTTCAGAAAAATGGCCAGGGGAGGAAACGAGACAGACCTGCTGGTGACAAAGCAAAGGAAGGAAATAGCTAACTGAAAGGAGGAGCTGTTTTTGTTGCCCTGGAGCAGTCCAGTTTGGCAGGGGAGGGCATCTCTTTGGGCTGTACTTATAAAGAATAACAATTGTATTATTGTCTCTTTTTCCTTTTGGTAGAGGCTGTACGTATGTAAAGACAATTTTAGCATGCAATAGACAATCTTGCTAGGACAAAGAAAACTCTGCTTTTGAGAGTGACTGGAGAATGACAAGAACAGGTATATACTGTAATGGAGGCCAACTGTAAAACAACAACAACAGCAGTCAGAGCCATATGGTTGTTGTGGGTTTTTCGGGTTCTTTGGCCATGTTCTGAAGGTTGTTCTTCCTAATGTTTCACCAGTCTCTGTGGCGACATCTTCAGAGGACAGCACTCTGTGCTCTAGGGTCCTCTGAAGTGCTGTCCTCTGAAGATGCCAGCCACAGAGACTGGTGAAATGTTAGGAAGAACCACTTTCAGAACACGGCCAAAGAGCCCGAAAAACCCACAACAACCATTAGATCCCGGCCGTGAAAGCCTTCGCGGATACAAATTAGAGCTATAGTTGGGAAGAATGTGTCCTCAACATCAAAGAAGGTGCTTCTGCAGTACCTAGTTGAAGTCGCTCCCGAGGGAATTCCCACTTGCTGGAGTCATAGGGCAGGTATTCACATTGCTCTTCCAAGGGAACTTCACCTGGGTCCATGATAATGGACAGGTAGCCTGTCTTAATATCAGCATGAGCAGGCTGCAGGGGAGAAGCCAAAAGGAGAAGCTGAAGGATCTCTGCTGTTTTGCAAGGAGTATCTATCACACTGTGAAACTTTACACCTGGCTCTGCATGACAGAGTAAAGGGGAGTGGGTGGTCTATCTCTCTAGTAGAAATACTGGCATGGCCCATGCTCATAGATAAAGCCTGTCTTGGAGGGGAATGCTGTTGTTTAGTCATTTAGTTGTGTCCGACTCTTCGTGACCTCATGGACCAGAGCACGCCAGGCCCTCCTGTTTTCCACTGCCTCCCGGAGCTGGGTCAAATTCATGTTGATAGCTTCAATGACATTGGGGGGAAATACCTTTTGCTATAAAGCTAGGATATGCTGCATTTTCTTCATTTCTCCCTAAATTGGTCCTTGATCAAAGATTTTTACATACCAAGAGTTCATGTTTTATCTATAAAATATTCCAGCCTGATTCCCAAAACAGAGGAAATTAGCATTGTGTGGTTTGTTGGTGATGGCAAGTGGACTTCCTTCCACAGAGCTGCCAATTGTATTCAATTACACTTGCCATGGCCACTTGGGTTCTGCTGTAAACCAGGTGTTGCTCTGCTTCAGCAAAAATACCCCCAGCACATTGAGATGGAAGTGTAGAAATCGTCACCCAGTTATATCTTCACATCCAACACACACACTTCTTTTTCTCTCTCTGTTAATCACTCTGCCAGTCTCTGTTAAGCACAGGCTGATCACAAGGTTTGAATAATTAGTTATAGTTCCCAGCATATCCGCTACTAAGGATACCTATTAATATAATTAGAATTTTGTGAAAGTATCTCTTTACAGTCTCCTAACTCCAGAAATAAGTTCCAGATACACTGTTAAAAAAAAAGCAAAGTTATCCCTCACCAAATTACAATAATATAACTTAGTTAAGTCTTAGTTACTGAAAAGGAGTTAATTACAAGCTCTGAGACACTTACTCGTTTAATATTACAGAAGATTAGGATCAAGAGAATCCAGAAAAAGATGGCAATGACCCCTGTCCCAATTAAGATGACAATCTCCACATTGGTCCTGTCGTCTGAACCTATAGGAACAGTGATGGTAGAGTTGACAACAGAACGAAACTGAAAATAGGACATTGCAAAATCAAGGGTGTATTAAGAGAAAGTGGAAGAAACACAACACGAATATTCTTCACTTTCTTTTGGGTGGGCTAAGTATTGAGGAATATTATTTTCATAGTATGACTGAGGGAGCATGAAATTGCCTCAGTGTAACAATGGTTTCTTTTTTGCATGAATTTTTATTTTGTTTCTATGTTTTTCTCTTCTTGCTTTCCCATCAAATACATTTCCTTTTCACGGTCAAACTTTGGCCTACTGGCTTCGCGTAGCTCATAAGTTCCTTTTTTGAAGTTCCCCAGTCCTTCTGAAGCCCCTTAGTCCCCCCCACCCCCCAGAAAAAAATGGTTGTTATAAAAGTTGTCCATTTGTCTCTGAAACTTGGCAGAAACCTGATAATTGTACTGTTTATCGCAATAAACCTTTTCTGGTCACTGTCACGTTTTGTTTACAATGATCTTCCTCATTGTTTCTTCCACATTCCTCTTCCTTAAACCACAGCTGTTTATTTCAAGAGCATTAAGCCTTTTATGATTTCAGAAAATTAGGTCTAAACTGTTATTTAAAGAACCTTGGTCATTCAATCTAACAGAGAATCTTTTAGCCCCTTCCTCGTATACTCCTAACATGTAGTTGCCGCTGTTGCTTCTAAGACAAGTGGATCATTTTCATAAGTTGAGTTAAAATCATTCTACGATAAGATAAAAGTATCCTGTAAATAATTTTCCTTTTTAATACAAAGACAAGTTACCAAGACCAGATAGAAAATAGGAAATATACTGATCTCAGTCACTTTCCCTCTCTGGCCAGGTCCCCTCAGGCGGCACAGCACTTTAGCAGTTGGACTCACTTGCAAAGTAGGCCCTGCTCCTGTGAATTCCACCCACCCCTTCTCTGCAGGTTTAGAGGATGAAGTAAGAGACAGTACCTTCCACAGAGACACTGGCGGAGGAATTCACACAACCCTTGGCATTGCAGACAGTACACAGGTAGAGACCAGCATCCTCTTCTCTTACCCTTTGGATACTCAGCCTCTGATTGGAATCTGCTAGGTCAATCCCTGAAATAGGCAGAAGGACGAGGGCTTTAAGGTGGGAAATGGTGGCAGAGAAGCTTTGGTTTTTCGTATCTTGATCATATATATTCAAGACCCCTTGAGCAGTGGTTCCAACTTCGGTCCCCCAGATGTTCTTGAACTAAAACTTCCAGGATTTCTGGAAGTAGTCCAACAACATCTGGGGACCTATGGGTGGGAACCACTACTCTAGAGGGAAGAAGTCTTCATTAAAATTAGACGGTGATAATTCAAGAAACATCAGTCACCATACCGCTGTCACTGGCGCTTGAACCCTTCTAAGGAGCTTTGCTTCATTGCCTAGCAATGAAGAAACCTTTCTCAGGAAGTAGCCCTAATGTTTCTGAATGAAGCATAGAAGAATACAACAGGCAGGCATAGGGCAGACAGCACATTTGAATTAAAAACATAGAAACAAAAATGTGAAATAATAGGATGTGGCTTTCGGCTCACTGTATGATTTCTGCTGACTTTTTTCCTAGCTTCCCTTTGGCTTTTAAAAAGCAAGTTTCTATTTTTCATGATAGTTAGTGAAAGGCAGTAACTTTGTAAGTAATTTCTAAGGGCTTCACAACCAGACATGTTTTAGGAAGCTTTCCAGTGATCACAGAGTCATTTAGTAAATTCATTTTTCCCCAGATAATATACATAGCAGATCTTTTTTGTGTATGCAGTTTTATGCTTAGCTGTAAGGCACAAATCTTCTGTCAAACAGATCCTAATGTGGCCTTATTACTTGCCACTGCAGAATAAAATGGTGGTTCAAAAGAGCCATTTGCAGAGGTGTAGGAGAAAAGCACATGCAGCCAAAGGCTTTCTTGTCATTCTTAACAAGAATGATAAGCTGATGAGGCACATTATTTTATCCTGAAAGGAACCTGATTCACAGCTAAAGAAATTTCAGTGGCAATGACAGAAAAGCTACCAATTGGGGTTTGTCTGGGCTTCCTTAATAATGTAAAATCCTCTATGTTTGTAAGGGTCTTCTCTGAGTTCCTAACAAGATTTCAAGTACAGATATTTGTATATGTGAGTGAGGAGAAGTGTCAAGCAAATTGTACAGATAAAATCTGACTTGTCTGCCTGTCACTGGGAAGCATCTCCTCAAACTTGACATCATCATATTTCAGTATTTATCTTAATAATGTCACTTGTGTATTAACTACAGATATATCTCAACTCCAGTACCAAAGGGTATACCTGCAAATATATGAATGGTGTTCATAATAGTCTTGATTACATAAGTCTTGTTTAAACAATTACATTCTTCCTTCCATGAACTCATGGGGAGGTATGAGAGCTGCCTATCTCTACAATTTAGGATAAAAACAACCCTATGAAGTAGGATAAATTAAGGATGATCTGAAATCTTCCAAAGAGCTGGGAAGCTTAACATTTTACCCACAACATCACAGTGATAACTAATTTTAGCATGGCATTAGGAAGAACCTACTTTGGTATGGTGCTTGGAACACCATTGAACTAACTGCAGCACATGTGCTGCAACTTGGAGATAAACAGGATATGAGCTGTCAGCCCTCCTTGGTATTTAAACCAAAGCCTTGCAAGTGTTTGCACAAACAAGAAGATGTATGCTCGAGTCCTTTCCAGCTACAAATCTCTTTGTGCCTCCATACCTGACACCTCTTCTACCAGCTTCTCATCCTTGTACCAGTTGATGTTTGGAATGTGGGTGCCATCAACTTTACAGCGCATCTCTATGGAGTCACTCACATTCACCAGGATGTTTGAGAGGTTCTGTTTCAATCTGGGGACCTCCAGAGCTGTGGGAATAATATTAAGATCATGGAAAAGTCGAAGCACAAGAAAGCAATTCATTCAGAAGAGAAATTTTAAAAAAACACACTAATCAGGAAGGACAACTTTTTCCTCTGGGTACAACATTGAATAAAAACAGCATAATCACAATAGAACTTAATTATGGCTGACAGATATTCTGCATCTCTTCTGCAGAGCCTTTGGTGCGATTTCTAGTCTATGATAAAATGAGGCCTCATTAAGGTACCTGTAAGATGATCAAGATTTTAGTTCAGGCTCTGAGGGCCAGCAGAGACACAATGCTCTGTCAAGCAACTGAAACTTGACTTCAGCGAAGGAGCTGGGCACTCCCTGCCCCTGCCCCTTCTAAAGTGTGAATTCTTCCAGCTGAGTCTTAGGACAGCAACACCAACATAAACTGTGGCTAGAATTACCCAGGGTTCTCCTCCAGCCTCACTCCCCCACCCCATTAAATCATGGCTGCTAACCCAAATTTGGACAGTCATCACTCTGTGTACTTATTTTAGTATGGCTGAGGGTTATAATGATAATGATATGTTTAAGCAGTAATGTATGTAACTTTTACATTAGGCCTTAAATTCTAATATATTTGTCCTCATATTGCCAACAAGAACATAATTTATTTATTTATTTATTCGATTTTTACCCCGCCCCTCTAGACAACGTCTTTGAAGTCAAGTTTCAGTGGAGCTCTTGTTTATCCTGTTGGAACTAGTAGGAGTCTTATTAAAAACATCATATTAACATGTAGACTGATTTCTAGTCCAAAGATGATCTTCCAGTCACCCCACGATAGAGGTTACAATTCCCTCCTCCCAGTGAGATTTGTTCTGTCCAAACGTTTTCGATTCTAAACATATGTTAGCATCAATGTCCTATGAACACAACTAGCATTTTCACTGCAGCCCTTACCATGCACGGAGATGTATCTTTTGTGGCAATGCTTTTCGTTATTCTCCCGGTTTTGCACCTCGCACACATAATCTCCTTCGTCTTCTAGTGAGATGCTTGGGATGGTGAGTGTCAATGCAGAAAACAAGTTAAAAAAATATATAAAATGCATTTATACTAAATTAGTATAATTTAATGTGAATACAATGTGGTATTTCATTTTCAAGATATGTTAATATGATGTTTTTAATAATACTCCTACTAGTTCCAACAGGATAAACAAGAGCTCCACTGAAAATCACAAGCCAGTTCCACAAAGGTACTTACACTTGTGTAGAAGTAATGAGCTAGATGTGTACTTGGAGAGCATTTTATTTACCACTGGAGCTGTTGTTTCCTCTTTTTCTCACTATTTTTTACTATTCTAAGGACTAGCTCCAACTCTTACTATTTCTTGAAGGGAAAGTGGTGATGTTTCTCTCAGCTTTCCAAGGAGAGACTGTGGACCACAAACTGGTGCCTTGTAGACTGATTTCTAGTCCAAAGATGATCTTCCAGTCACCCCACGATAGAGGTTACAATTCCCTCCTCCCAGTGAGATTTGTTCTGTCCAAACGTTTTCGATTCTAAACATATGTTAGCATCAATGTCCTATGAACACAACTAGCATTTTCACTGCAGCCCTTACCATGCACGGAGATGTATCTTTTGTGGCAATGCTTTTCGTTATTCTCCCGGTTTTGCACCTCGCACACATAATCTCCTTCGTCTTCTAGTGAGATGCTTGGGATGGTGAGTGTCAATGCAGCATAATTGGAGTTGGGTTTGAAGTGCAGTTCCCCCTGCATCTTAGTTGCATAGTGGTGGACATTTTTGCAGTCCAGGACCAGAGGGTTGCCCTCTTCATCATGCAGTTTTGAGAGGTTGAGCCGGTACCACTGCAGATTCTCATACGTATAATTATCAGCATTGCAACTTAGCTTCAGGTCTTGACCCTCGATGGGCTCTTCTGAAGGCTGTGACTCAATTTCAAACCCATCTGGGATGGCTGCCAGGAAAGCAAGATAAAAAAAAACAAATGTGTGATCAAGACTTTAAATGTCTGCCTTTGATTATTCATATAAGATACTATTCTATTTATTTAAGGTTATGTGAAGAACCTTAAGTTAAGAACTCCAGGAAATTAATGATGTTGTGTATGTTTATTTAAATGCACATAAAACAGAAGCTTCGTGATGGCTTCAAACATCCTAGCTATCAAACTAGATTTAGTCTGAGTACCAGGAAAAACTTTTTAATTGTTAAAGCGGTACCTCAAGAGATGGTGAGTGTTCCAAAGCTGGAGGCATTCAAGAGAAAATTGGACAACCATCAGTGAGATCTGCTTTGACTTGGATTCGTGCATAGAGCAGGGGAGGGGGGTTTGGACTCGATGGCCTTATAGGCCCCTTCAAACTCACATTTTCTATGATTTTATGAACTGGATGCAACAGAGATGGAGTCACTATAACCTCAGCAGCTGCCCTGCAATCAGATTGGTTGCCATACTTAATTAGGCCTGTACCTTCCAACATAACAGGGACATGGTGGAGCTGCGGGTTAAACCGCAGAAGCCTGTGCTGCAGGGTCAGAAGACCAGCAGTTGTAAGATTGAATCCACGCGACGGAGTGAGCTCCCGGCGCTTGTCCCAGCTCCTGCCAACCTAGCAGTTCGAAAGCATGTAAATGTGAGTAGATAAATAGGTACCACCACGGTGGGAAGGTAATGGCGTTCCATGTCTAGCTGTGCTGGCGACATGACCACAGAAGACTGTCTATGGATGAACGCTGGGTCTACGGCTTGGAGACGGGGATGAGCACCGCGCCCTAGAGTTGGACACGACTCATCTAAATGTCAAGGGGAACCTTTACCTTACCTTCCAACATAATGTTGGAAGTACAACTTAGAATGGCTAATGGGTTCTCCACAGAGCAAAAGTTACCACTCTCAGATGTCTTGATGGTTTCTGTCTGCACCTCCTAGAAATACTACACATTCTTTGCCATGCTAACTAGGATTTCTGAATGTTGGAGACCGAATACATTTAGAGAGCCAAGCTTAGAGTACATACCATAAATCCAGTTTTTATGGAGAACTATAGACGCCTTACCCATTGGGAATGAAGAATGTGGACTGACCCTCCCCTCCATAGAGGGACATGCAAAACTTACATGTTTAATGAGTATATCTATTGGAAATGCTACTGCTTAAAATATTATTTTTAAATATCACCTTTCAAGAGCTATCATACTTGTAATGGTCCATAAACAAATGAATTTAATGTTAATATGTTACATGTGTCATCTCCAGGTTCTTGAATTTATAAATTCCTGAGAAGACAAAAAGCCTGGCTTCCTAAATACCATCAGGATCTATTCAAGGTGTTGGCCACAAGGGGGTGCAGTTGCACCAGAAACACTAGGGGCACAGCAAGCTCCTGCTTCTTGGGAAGGACAGATTGCATTTCTTCCTTCACAGGAAGAGCGCAAAGGAAGAGCATAGCTTGCTTATTCGGTTTTCCAGTTCCAGAATACCTCTCTTTGCTACTCTCATCTGCAGCAGAGACCAAGCTGGCTTTAACCATCGGTATATGTCTAGCATTTTAATTTGGTTGATGAGTTTATAATAAAGACTTTTGATTTTTGCTACAGTTGAAAACTAATTGAAATACAAAATTCAAATCCAAACTATAAGCAAATGCAAACACGTACACGGTAAATTTGAAAATCCAAATCCTGAAATCCTAGTCTGAAAACTGGTTTTGAAGCTACCAAAGTCAACTATAGAGCACAGTGATAAGTTATGATATAGTACGGGACATGTGTGAGATGTTACAATGGTAGAATTCCAGGAGGAAAATTAAGACACCAATGCCAAAATTAGGGTTTTACCACCCAGATGGAAATGCTATCAATGTTCATTGAGTGATCTGTATCTTTTAGTCCAATGAGATCATACATGTATATATTAATACAGATTATGCCCTGAACACATTATGCTCTGATGAACACGTTTAATTTAGTCGTTTCCAAATGGACTGCTTTACGTAAAATATCTGCACTCTTTAATTGCTTATAAACGGCCAATAAAGCAGAGGACAGAGACTTTTTGTTTTACAATACTCACTAGTTACATAGAAATAGATGAGCCGTTCATCACGACCAACTTTGTTGGAGGCTACACACTTGTACATAACAGACACATTGGCTTCTTGGATGATCAAGTTGCTGACCGTCTGGTAAAGAAAGAGAAAAGCAATGTAAATGGCATTTTAAAATGGAGACATGCAGGTCTTTCACCTTTCCTTATGAATAATCCTAGAAAGAAGGCTTTTGATTTAGCTGTATGGAACCGCATAATGAAATCTTTAAGGGTATGTTCCCAATAGTCATTCCCAACTTTATATAATTCTAGCATTTCACATTTACTCATTATTCAGTACTGACCTGATTACTGTCTACTAATTCTTCCTGCTGAACTGCAGTTGTCACATGAAGACATTCCCTTTATGTATTTATGAACTGCCTCCCATTTACAAGGACACAGAATAGATGGGCACTTAGCAGTCCACGCAGAAAGAATGCTACTGATTAACTGAGTTTTGTAGATCATGCCAGGTCCAGGTAAGGTCAACAATTTTTGACTAGTCTACTGGACACACCACCATATTTGATAACATCTGCAAGGCAGACAGTTGTTGGGTTAGAATACACTAGCGGGAATCTTACTGGTGTTGGTGTAAAATCTGCATAACTTGCTACAGATAATTGCGGCAAATTGACAAGAAGCTAGGGTGCATCTCATCTGCACACAACCAGGATGTTATCAGTTCCCAGGAATTAGCTATGGCAAGCTATACAGATCAAGTTACATAGAACCCCAATAGGATTCTACTCGGTGGCCCAAATTAAACTGCTAATTCCAGCTACAGAAGATTACACTGACTCAATTGCTGGTTGGTACACTAATATGCATGCACATAACAGGTGTGGACATGACCCTGGAGATTAGACAGTGAGGGAATCAAAGCTTATGATACCCACTTCCCAAAATTTTTAAATGGTATACGAGAGCATTAAAAAGGAATTAACTGTAAAGTAGCTTGAAGTCAACCTTCAGTGGCCAAACATACAGTGAAAATTTAAAATATTCCATGTTGCCCTTTCTTCAGAATGGATAGTATTAAAGTAGTAGAGCTAAGCTGAGTATTTGCTTGAAGTTGTAGATGGGGCAGTGTTTTAGCTACAAGAGAGTGTGCTTTATATA